CGCACTTTGTATGTTTAATTCAAAAACTGTTCATCACTGCAGTAATTAAATGAATAAATAGGTGCAAAACAAGCGAACAGTGATTTCAAACGAATTGATAACGTGATGAAATGGGTTGGCAAAATGGAGGGTGGATAAGTGAGAAGGAATGACCATTAATTTCGAGAGAACGTTCAAAAAAATATTACATTGATTTTTCACAAATTTTCATTTTTCATTTTTCAAGAAGCGTTCAATATCCGTGTTGAAACAACTTATAATGCTACGTTGACAATTGTTTCATCTTTCATATTACGTTGATGATTCTCATAGAGTTTATTCCAATTCCATCGATTGAGGATCATTCTGGAAAGGACTTACATCAATTGAAAAGTGACTAGAATGATAATATTGCTAAGAATCAAATGATAAAGTCTATACGTGAGTTTCACATACGACAGAGATGAGCTGGTTGTGGTTGCTATAGATAGCAGTGGAGCACTTTTGATTGCTATTGGAGAGGTGTCCGACAGATGTGATGAAAAAGTTGACGATGTGATGGGTGATGGTGTGCAAGTTGGTGAAACTTTCGGAGATACGCTAGTGATTACCGGAGGTATGCGAGTGGTAGATGATGGGTTGTCTGCGTTTGTAGGTAACAAAATTGTGCCAGAATTGCAAGCATCCTTGTCACATCGACCAATCATAGCCTTTTTCATAGACAGAACTACTGGTACCTGAGTTTTCGAATCGAATGCATTTCCTTTTGCATTATTAAACCCATTTTGGGACTTTTTCATGTAATGATTACGTCGTCAAAGCGGCAATTCCCTGTCTATTGTGGAGTCAAAGTGAATAAGTCCAAAAAACTTGCCCTAAAGAAAGGATGCAATAAGAAATGGAAACTTACTGAACGCTCATCTATAACAAACTGGTCATCCTCACACGCTCTGTACAACAAGAACGAACCCATAATATCCCGCCGTTGAGCCAACAGACTGCAAATGGGCATTACGGCCGAATGGATTTCAGTACTCGATAAAAGATGAGGAAAAAATAATATCTCGCTTCCAGCTAAACTATTTTATTCCTGTTCTATTCCAAGTAACAGAATAGAACAGTTCTCAAAAAAAGGACGCAAGAATTGGATAGAATAGAAGAGTCATCAGAAAAAATGCACAGGATAGAATAGAATGGAGCCGTTTAGGAGCGGAATAGAACAGTTTCCAGAAAGGTGGTATAGAGACCTCATTAGTCTTGGTACGCCTTTTGTAATGGGCGCACAAAACAGTGAGCATGCATTTACTTTGCTCAAATCAAACCAAAACGAACCATGAGGGTAAAATGACTGAGTAATACTCTTTAAGAGGACTTGGTAGCGAACTGATTAACATAGATCCGTATTTACCTCAAGCAAAATTTGGTCTGCTGAGGGCAGTTCACTAACAGACCATTTTGTCGATCATCGAAACACTTTATTGTCACTACCGTGACGATACAGGCTGCAAAAACGAATCGCCCGAACATCTGAAGTTTAGTAACGATTGTGAGGAAAAGTTGGTGCATATTTTAGAGCATTTGATGACGTGAATGGCTGGTTTCATGTATTCAGTCGTGACCTTTGGTCTAACTGACCGAAAATTTCATCAAAAATAATTTACTGAACAAGTATTTGCAACAAGGAGTCGTGCGTGAAGTCGTCATGTTTTAATGGAGTCATTTTTGAAAGATGCAAAAATTATGGAGTTTTCAGGAGTTTTGAATTATAGCTGAAGATAAAAATAATCGGAATGACTGGATCTGTCGAAAGTATGACATAATTATATTGCCACTGTTATCAAGTATTTGTTCCATACCGTATGCAAGAACAGCACTAAAAAACAAATGTTTGTGCTGAACTAGAAACGAGACTGATTGAGGAATGCATCATTGGAATATGTGCAACTGTTTAAACAAGCTTATCATTCACTACATTGAAAACCCTCTTTCCTTTCATGGAATTTAATCGCATGAAAATGATGAAACATGATAATAGTGTATGACAATATGTTGCTGTCGCGACGGAGCACGAACTGCACGACTCGTCATGTGGACAAAAGTGATCTATGAATTAATCGTTTGTTTTGTACAGTGGCTGTTTACGTATAAGATGTGATACATTTGTAAAGATAAAAGATATGCATGATGAAATGGAGATTTTGTATGTACTGCTTGAATGATCACTCAATCCCTTTGTGCTTGTATGATACTAATCCTTTGTGTTCCTCTAATTTTATGGAGTGTTATTAAAGCAAAAACGCCGAAAGTTGCCTTCAGTGAAGGGAAAGGACAATAAATGCGTAACGCAAGACAAAATCTCTTCGATGATATTCCTTCGATCCATCGTAATCGCAACATGCTGATGAAGTTCGAATGAGAATAACTTCATGTGCGAATAGAAATGTATTTTGTAATGCCTTTGAAATTTAATAGTTCCGTGATAACTATGATGTAACTGATACAAATGACTTCTAATAAAGCAAAAGAATCACTTCTAGTATGCAGTCCTTAATAAATACCTGCTTACACGTGATCCAACATGATGTG